GCAACTTGTGCCCGCATGCCATCGATCTTTTCTTGAGCACTCGCGATGAAGCGTAGCTGCTCCTCGATATGGTGCTCAAGTCTCTGTTTTTTGCCTTTAGCACTTGCCAAGCGATGACCCACATTAGTATGCTGAGTGAGCTGGGGCTTGGTCTGATGCAATTCGCGACGTACGGCCTCCAGCTTGATCTCGAGCTCAGCCTTGGCACCTTTGACCGACTCACCCAGCTTCTCACAATGCGATATGGCCACCTCGAGCTGCTTGATGTTGTCGCGCAGCTCCTGCTCCTTGGGATCCTTGGGCGGTTCCTTAGCAGGGTGGCTGGCCACAGGGACAGGGGACAGGTTACCTCCTCCTGCCAACTTGTCAAACCTGCGCTGGAGCTCGTCCAGCCTCTTCTGTAGTTTGTCGTCACGACCACCCCCACCGCCACGAGGTAGACCAGCCCGCTGACGATGCTGCTGGCCGCGCGCATGAAGCTCGGCTGCACGGCGCACCTCGAGCGGTGCCTTCTTCCCGCATCTGCAAATGATCCTGGACGCCCAGTTGGTGTTGCGACCACATGAGCACGCCCAGGTAGGCGTCCTTGGCCCAGGGAGGACCTCAGCGCCATTCCCATCGGCCATGAGAGCCCGTAGGCGTGGATGAATGTGTGGGTTGAGATCCCACGAACTGAAGGTTGGAACGGGGCTCGCAGCAGCGACTGCCGCTCTGAAAACTGCTGCTGCAAGCTCAGGAATCAACACCTGAGCCAGAACGGCTGATGCTTGAGCCAAAATGGCCACGGAGGGTCTTGACCCCTCCCCCTACCCCTCCCCCCATGGATCTGGACAGGGGGTTTCGCGAGGTGTCGGAACGTCCAAAACGGCCTCGGCGAGGAAACCAACATCATTGGTTCTACCATGGTTTTGGCCCCATGTTGGCCTCCTTGGGGGGGCGCTAATTAAAGCTCCCCCCTTGTTTGATCGATATCCTCCAAAATGGCCCCAAGAAGCGCCCAGGAGGCACCATGAGGTCCCAAGATGGCCCCAAGATGGCCCCAAGAGGCCCCCAAGAGGCCCCCAGGAGGCCCCCCAAAGGATCCCAAGCGGCCCCGAGAGGCCCCCCCGAGGCACCCAAGACGCGGAAGAGCCCCCCACGACAGCCAGGAAACCCCGAATACGTCCCAACACGCCCAACAGATACCCCAAAAGGCTCCGAGAAACATCCAAGAAACCTCTGGCCCTTTTGCTTGCTCTCCTCCTCCTCCTCCTCCTCCTCCTCCTCCTCCTCCTCCTTCCTCCTCCTATCCCTCCTCCTCCCTCCTCCCTCCTCCTCCTCCTCCTCCCCCTCCGCTTCCTCCTCCTCCTCCTCCTCCTCCTCCTCCTCCTCCTCCTCCTCCTCCTCCTCCTCCTCCTCCTCCTCCTCCTCCTCCTCCTATTCATCCTCCTTCTCCCTACTCCCTCATGATCCATCCATCCAATTTTCTCTTTCGCCCCCTCTCTCCTTCGCACGGTTCGGCCGTCCCCCTCTTTGCTCCCGCACTTCCCTGATCACCTCTCAACTCGCTTGGACATCGTTTCTGGATGGGCCGGTGGGGGCACTTTTTTGGTCGCGGCCGCGCAGCAGAGGGCAGGCGGCGAAAGGGGTGCCCGGGCCGACGTGCAAACCTAATGACCTGCTGGGCGCAGCGCGAGCCGGCCGGGCCAGCTCTCAGAGGCAGCAGCTGCGGCAGCGGCGGCGGGGGCCTGGCTGGACGCCCAGGGAAGCTCGAGCATCGTGCAGCCCTGTGGCAAAATGCCAGGGCATTCTGTGTTTTGCGCCGCGGCGCCAGTCCACCACGGCGAAGGTGCATTCAGTCCACCACGGTGAGGGTGCTGTCAGGACAGGCAGAGGGCGGCCTGCACGTACACTCCTCCCAGACACTGCAGTGGGGAAAGGTAAGGTTCACACTGGTCATGTCGCCAGGGGGCGCCAAGGGCCAATGCCGTCTCGACGGCGTAGACCTGCCCGGGCTCGGCTGGGACGGAACGAGGATGGAAGCACAGCGTCCGACGGAAGGCTGGACCACTCCGAGACGCCACGCACGTATCCAGGGGAACACACCTGTCCCGAGCAAGGGCAACGAACCGGCCCGAAGGCGATGGCACCTGTGAGCCCGGCCCATGGCCACACGGTCACGACGTGAGCGTCGCAGAGAACCGCGTATTGCGTGGAAAGGAAGCCTGACTGGCGGAGGTGGACGTCGCCAGCGCGGCCGGGAGAGTAGGCACCAGGGGGCGACAGCGCCAGGGGGCGATCACCCACATTGCGATGCAAGGTCACGGGGTCCTGACAGGCCACCCTGCCCGTGTGGGACCCTCCTGTGGTGGGGGCGGTGGGGACAGACATCATCAGCCGGCCACGTGGAGGGGCCCGCCAGGGACACCCGGCGCCAGGAAGGGGAAAGGGAGAGGGGCGGGAGCTAGGGCCCATGTTCCAGGGTCCATGCCAGGCCCGATGTGCAAGGAGGCGTCGAGCCCGTCGGCGACCTAATTCGAAGCGCTTCCATTGACCAGGGGAAAGACGCTGGGCGCCAACGACCTTGGAGACGCGCCTGGCGGCGAGACCAATGGCATCAGTGAGTTGGATGGTGAAGCACTTGTGCATATTTTCCTACGCCATATTCTCGAAGAGTGAAACAGGGGCGATGCCTAACACATTACAATCATGCACCACTGTTTTGGCTGTGTTCACTTTGGTGAGCTTGCAAGCCAGGTCACGGATGATGGCGGGTCGGTCCACCAAAGGGTCCCCCATCCGATGCTGACAGACTTGGACGCCGGAAGAACGCGCTTCGTGTTGGCGTGGACGGAGGCCTCGCTGATGCTCCAGATATGCTTGTGGAGGGCAGCCGAGGCGGAACCGTGGTCGTCGAGGCGGGACTCGACCGGTGGCCTTGATGTGAACCGCGAGGCTGTCCAAGTGTCCCTGGTGCCTGCGGTTGATGACGTCGAGCTGCTTGGCTGCTGCGTTGAGAACCATCTTATGGATACCGCGAACACCTTTAACAAACCGAAAACCCAAAACGCCGTGCGCCGCGAGCTGTTCCGCGAAGGGGCTGACGCTTTCCTCGACGGTCTTGAAAGTGGAGGCGCGCACTTGGGCGTTCGAGAAATCGCTGCGCAGAACGTCGTTCGCCAACCTGCGCGCGAACTCATCGTAGCCAGCACCGTCACCATGTTCAAGGCCATCGCCGTCAGCAGAAGCCAGATCGAAATGAACAGGACGCTGCACGCCCGCAGCGTCGACCACCTCATCGGGGCGTTCGTCATGTTCGGGAAAGACACCAGCACCAAAACGAGACTCACGAGTAGCAGTGTCAGCGTCGGGAACCTCTTTCCTGCGCCTGCTCTTGCCACGGGGCTGCGGGGGGGCTGCGCGCATCGTCGGGCATCGGCAGGCGCGGGCGACGAGGGGCTGTGCGCGGCCGCCAGGAGCTAGCCGCGGACCAGCGGTCTCCACTTTGCCACTGGGCGACATGGACACTTGAGCCAAAAATGGCGACGGAAGCAAGAGCGAAACACATGAGAAGATGAAGGAGGTGGAGCGTGGCCGAGGCGAGTCCCAAACTTCCAACCTACCCGCCCACCCCCCGCGCCTCCATCCAGATGCTGTCGAGATGGGCGCGGGAGAGGAAGCGCCTCTGCCTGCCTCTGGTAGGCAAGCGTGTGGCCAGACTGACAGCGTCGATAATCCCTGCCACCTCGATGGCCGAGAAAGGCAGGGACGGCTGGCAAGCAGCCAGGAGGAGGAGGAGGAGGAGGAGGAGGAGGAGGAGGAGAAGGATGAGAATATGAAGAGGGAGGAGAAGGAGGAGGAGGAGGAGGAGGAGGAGGTGGAATCGAGGGCTTCGACGGGATCAGAAGCTCTTGGAAAGCAGAAGGGTTTCTAAGAAATCCCAGGCCTTCTTGGGAGGCCCCGCCCGCGCCCGGACCACGCCCAAATCTGCGAAAACTCTGTTCCGGGAAACCTCCATGGATCCGTCGTGGCCCGTTCGCCTTGACGAACCGCGTCCTGCCGTGGCGACGTGGAAGGAGTAAGACGCAGAAGTAGAAAGAAACGGATGAGAAGGAGGAGAAGGAGGAAGAGGGGGAGGAGGAGGAAGAGAAAGAGCAGGAGGAGGAGGGCGGGTCGAAGGAAGTGGATCTGAAGGAGGTGTATGAAGAGGAGGGATGCGTCGGGGATGGGTTGGAGGGAGAGGGGGGACGATGGAGGAGGGTGGAGTGGGGGGGTAAACAAGGGAGAGCTCCCGACGACTTCGCCATCGCAGCCCCCCAGATCTTCTGCGAGGTACGCGGGTTACAGTGGCCGTCTCCCTGCTACCCGCCCCTCGCTCCCTCCCTCTTGCAATCCAGCGATGGGTCAACTCCCACAGCTACCATTTAGGGATCAAGGCCCTCCAGGACACCCCCGTCGGCGGATAGAAACTAACCCAACACAGTGAGAAAGTATGAAAGGTAGGGATAATGTGGCGCGAGCACATCAAGCTGGCCTCCCTGCCCTCTCCCCGCTCCCCCGTCCCATCCCGCACCGTCTCCAACTTAACCCATCATCATCTTGTTGCCACTCCTTCTCCTCCCCCTCCTCCTCTTCCCTCCACCCCGTCACCATTATCCTCCTGCCTGCTCCCCGTCCTATGATCCCCTCTCTCCCTCATCCTCATCACCTGTCCCTCTTGTTTCCCGCCCTCCTCTTTCACCCCCCTCCTTCCTCCCTCCCCGCCTTCATTCCTCGGCCTCTGAGTCCCCCCCCAAAGATTCCCCCCTCATCACACACGCACACCCGTTCTTCCTTCCCCCTAGCTGGTTCCTGTCATGCTTGCCCCTCCCCCCCCTTCGCCCCTCCCGCCCTTGCCCCGCCGCCCCGCCTCCTCTCTGCTCTTCCCCGTCCCCCCCTTCCCTCATCATCATCGTCCTCGTCTAAGTTCTCTTGGTCCTCGTCGTCGTTCCCCTGCGCGTCCGAGCGAGAGGGGAGATCTCCTCTGCTTCAGAAGGTGCTGGAAAGTGACGTGGTCCTCCATGTACACGGCCTTCTCTGTTTGGCCGCCGAAGGGGGGATGAGGAGAACTCGAGAAAGAGGATGACAACATCAATGTATTTGGAAACTGCAAGCCAACTAAATACACTCAGCGTCTCGGAACAAAAACAACATGGACATTGTGCACCAGGTTCGGCCTCTAGGTGCTTTCACCGAGCTCCAGGAGAGCCCAAATTCACGAAACAGCCCCCAAGGGGAACGGTCTAGACCTTCGGGAGCCGGTGGTACCCAAAGGAACAAGCAATCGGATGACTGGGTGTGGGGCCCTGAAGGAGGACGACGAGGAAGAGCGAGGCAGAGAGAGGAGACACGAGGCGGAGGCAGAGGCGCAATAATATTGAGTAATTTCGGGATCATGCACGGCGAGCGAGGTGAGGGTGTGAGGGCGATGGCTTGGCGCAGCGGGCAAGGTGCCAGAGGGCGGGTCGTGGTGGCTTGGGCGACGAGCTCACACAGGGGGGCACAACAGGAAAGGGAAAGAGACACGGGGATATACGAACATGTATGGTGGGAGGGGCGCCATGGGCTGAGCGAGAGAAAGACAGAGAGAGAGAGAGAAAGAGAGAGAGAGAGAGATGGAAACAAAAAACAAACGAGGGCGATGTGGATGGCGCGCCGCTGGACGACCCCAAGGGGGGGGAGGATTGGGACCCCCCTCCCTGTCCCCGATCCGTCGTCGGGGACCCCACCCCCCTCCCCCCGTTGCCCGATCCGTCGTCGGGGAACCCCCCCTCCCCCCCTTTCCGGGTCCGTCGTCGGGGGCCCCCCCCCCATTCCACCCTTTCAAAGGGCGGGGGGGGTGTCCGAACTCCCCCCCCTCTCCCCCCCTTTGGCCGCCAAATTCGACCCCCCCCTCCCTCCCCTCCCTTTCGTCACGGCGCCCCTGGTCTCCGGAACCCATCCCCTGCCACCCCGAAAACTAATCCTCACCCTTGCCCTAACCCCTAGCCCTAACCCCAAACCCAAACCCTAGCCCAAAACAACATTCACTACTCATTACGCACTACTCACTACCCACAATTCACTATTCCATATTCACTATTCACTTCTCACTACTCATTACTCACGACTCACTACCCACGATTCACTACCCACGAATCACTACCCACGACGCACTACTCACTACTCCTCACTTCCTACCCACTACCCACTACTCACTACTCACTACAAACTACTCACTACTCACTACCCACCACTCGCCAATCACAAATAACACTCACTACCCACTAACCACTATCCACTACTCACTACTCACACTTCACTACTCACTACTCACTGCCCACAACTCTCTACCCACTCTCCACTACTCGCCACTCGCTACTCTCTACTCCCTACACAGTACTCGCTAATCACTACTCACTACTCGCTACTCCCTACGCCCTACTCGCTAGTAACTACTCACGACTTACTACTCATTAGTTTCTACTCGCTACTCCCTACTCACTACCGACTACTCCCTACCCCCTTCGCGCTTCTCACTGCTCACTACTCACTACTCCCTACTCCCTACTCGCTACTCACAACTCACCACTCACTACTCACTACTCGCTACTCCTTACTCGCTACGCACTACTCCAGACTCACTACTCACTACTGACTCCTGACTACTCCCTACTCACTACTCACTGCACACAACGCCCTACTCGCCACTCACTACTCACTACTCGCTACTCCCGACTCGCTACTCCCTACTCGCTACTCACCACTTACTACTCACTACTCTCTACTCACTGCGCACTACTCACTACTCACTACTCACTACTCACTACTTATTCATGTTTCACTAGTCGCTACTGTCTACTCCCTCATCCCTACTCCCTGCTTGCTACTCACTGTGAACTACTCACTACACACTACACACTCCCCATTACTCATTACTCACAATTCATTACACACTATTGCCTTCCCGCTATTCACTACCCAGTCTCACTACGCACGGATCACTAATCTCTACGCCCTACTCACTACTACCACTACCCATTACCCACTACTCACTACTCACTACTCACGACTCACTGCGCACTACTCACCATCAAATACCCACTACTCACAAATCGCTATTCAAAATACTCTACTCTCTACTCACTACCCGGGAGGCCCCCTCCCTGGCCCCCTGTTCGGCGCAAAGGGGGGAGGGGGGGGGGTCGAACCCACCCCCCTTTTCCAGCGACAACGGGGGGAGGGGGGATGGTCCGGACCCCCCCCCCTTCAAGGGAGGGGGGGGGGCGGACGCCCCCCCCTTAAGGTGGGGAGGGGGGGGGGTCGAAAATCTCACCCCCCCTTTGAAGGGGGGGACGGAAGGGGTTCTGCGAGCAGGACCCCCCTTTAGTGTATTCAGGACCATCCACTGGCGCGCTTTCGGCGATGTGTCTCTCTTTGTTCACACTCTCTCTCTCTCTCTCTCTCTCTCTGTCTGTTTCTCTTTCTCTCTCTCTCCCTCTCTGTCTCTCTTTGTATGTTTCCTCTCTTTTTTTGTTTCTCTCTCTCTCTCTCTCTCTATCTCTCTCTTTCTCTCCGATGTACACACACACATATATATATACACACATGTGTGTATGATTCCAGGCTCCGCCGCCCCACACCCCAAGGCTAATGGGATCGCTACCCCCTGCTGGATGCGTACGCCCGTAAGCCTCGCGAAAGCCTTGCGAATGGGATCGCCGCCCCCCTGTGGTCGTGCTCCTGTGGGCGTGGCGTAGCGGAGGGGGTGCCCACAATTGCGGATAAGAGTGAGGGGGCAGGCGCGGGGTGGGTCGCGGGTGGGTCGCGGGCGGTCGCAAATGAGCTGTCGTGAAACCGTGTTCGAGAGATGCTGGCTCCTTCCGGGGCTTCTTTGGACTCTCCGGAAGCCCGTGTAAATCATTGTGGGCAACAGGAAGTCCTGGGTTTCTCCGTGTGGCGATGCGGTGCGTTTTTGGAACGCCTTGGCGGCGGTGCGCGCTGCGGGGGCCGTCCAGGTGCCTCCGAATAATTGGCGAGCGGCGGGCCAGAGGCCTTCTGATTGTGTCTGGGCGTTGATAGACTGGCTTGGGGCCCTCTTGGGCCGTCTTGGGGGCGTTGGCCATCTTGGAACCCTCTTGGGTCTCTCTTGGGCCCACTTGGGGACATCCTATAGACTTGGATCTCTCACGGGGGCCTCTTCGGGTCTTCTTGGGCCCCTCTTGGGCCGTCTTGGAGCTCTCTTGTTCCGTCTTGGGTCTCTCCGAGGCCCTGTTGGGCCGTCTTGAAGCAATCTGGGAGGCCCGTTAGGCCGTCCTGGGGCGATCTCGGAGACCCCTGGAGTCGTCTCGGGCCGCTTCTGGTTGGATATGGCGAGAACTTCAAAATCTGTTAAAAAGCCTTTCGCAACATCCAAGGTTTTGGCCTCCGCGGGCAATCCTCGGGGTCCGCTGTCCCGTGAGCCTCCTGGCCTGTCATCGGGCCCTCTCGGTCCGTCCTGGGGCTCTCTTGGGGTCCTGTTCGGCATGTTTGGGGCCCTCCGGAACGCCTGGGGCCCGCTGTGAAGACCCAGGAGGAAGTCCAGGAGGCCCGGGAACTCCGAGGGACCGTCTGCACGGGTGTCCAGGAGGCCCTGGGGGCCAGGGATCAAGGGGGTCCACAGGTTCCGCGGGGCCCAAGATCTGGGGGGTTCGGCTTAGGGAAGGGGGTCTCGGTAATAACATACACAAGTAAGATTATTCCCCAAACTGTGCTTGCACGTGGGGGTTTCTACGTGCGGTGTAAGGAACTGGGCCTGGGTGGCGATCTGGAGGCTATGTTGTCGCCGTCGCACCCTCGCCGCCTCGTCGCCGCCCGTCGTCTGGGCCCGGCTGGCGGTCTGGCGACTGTTGTCGCCGTCGCCGCCCTTTCGCCGCCCGTCTTTTGGGGCTGGGTGGCGGCCTGGCCGCCATGTTGCGTCGTCGCCGCCCCGTCGCCGCCCAGATCTCATTTCTTCAAAAATAATAGGATCGACCCCCACCCCGGAATTAACGACTCCCCTTGTTGTATTGCAATTTACAAGCGATTGTGCCCCATCGCCCATTGGAAATATGAAATCGCAGCATCCCAGGCAGGCCGGCATCGCCCACCGTCATCCTCTGTAGAAATCCGCTGCTCCAGCGTGTGAGTTTAAGAAAGCTACAACCCTGTCCTTCAGCTCTGCTGGGGGGGGGGGGCCGGGGGGGCTCTGCCGGGGTAGGGGGGGAGGGGGGGGGGTTCATGGGGGTCCACCCTTTCTCCCCCCCCCCCCCGGGAATCCCAAACCGCCCCAAGACGGGCCAAAAGGGGCCCAGGAGGCCACCAAGACGGTCCAGGAGGCGCCCGAAACGGCCCAAGAGCGCTCCTGGACGCCCAAGATGGCCTGAAGACGGCCCAAGAGGCCTCCAAGACGCCTCAAGGAGACCCCAAGAGGACCCCCAAGAGGGCCCCAAGAGGGTACAACAATCAAGTTGCTAATAGATTTTGAATCATTTTGACATTATCGCCTTTTCCGTCTTAGAAGCGCCGAAGACGGCCCAAGAGGTCCCCAAGATCGCCCCGAGACAGCCCAAGAGGCCACCAAGAGGAGCCAAGACGGCCCAAGAGGGCCTCAATATAGCCCTGGAGGCCCCCCAAGACGACCCCGAGAGGCCCCAAGATGGCCTCAAGAGGGCGAATCCAAACGGACCCTTCTAGTCCTCCACCCCAAGATGACCCCAAGAGCCCCCAAGATGCCCCCGAGGCGCCCCCGAGGGGCCCCCAGAGGCGCCCAAGAGGTCCACAAGAGGCCCCCAAGAGGACCCCGACAGGCCCCCAAGAGGCCCCGAAGGCCCCCAAGAAGCCCCAAGAACCAAGAGGCCCCAAGAGGCGCTCACTCGCGTGCTGCCAGGCCAGAGGTGCACGGCCTGAGTTGGTATTGCTCGGAAGCGAAAGCGATGAACGAAGAACCTTCCAGTCGTCGCCGTCACCAGTCGTCGGTCGTCGGCCGTCGGCAGCCGTTCGCCGTCAGTCGTCGTCGTCGTCGTCGTCGTCGTC